ATTGCTCTATCATTATTACTTCTCCTTTCTTAAATACTGGTATAATTCTGCCTTCTTTTCAATACTCGGGCATTGCTTCTGCTTCCTATATTCTAACTATTAGGTTATAGATGCTTGTTAATAACTTTTTCCTCCGTTTTTAATTAGCTCATTTGTTCAAAATCCCTATTTCATTATCTCTAATGAGTCTTCTATTGCGCCTACTTCCTTTTCCGGGCTTTCTTTGTATCGATATAAATTTGCGAAGTGTGTTTCCCATGATCTATTGTAAATTTTAACTACTGGTCTGCATTTTTTTTGTTGAGCTTTGAGCTTTTAATTATTAAACTATTCCTTCAAATAATATTAAAAATTAAATCGCCAGTATACTACAGAAGCTTAAACAAGCTTTAGCTAGTAAAAAGATGGACTTTTCTTGGGCGGTTTTCTGGCTGATCAATTATCTAAATATTTTGACAATCTTGTAACGAATATATTTTGCCTACCACATGGGGTATTACTAAGGAGGCTGAAAGTTGAGGGCAGAAACTATTGGGGTGAAGATAGGGTAAGCAAAATAATCGAAACATATGCGAACGGCACTCAGGGTTTGTTAGGAGAGCTGGGGTCGTGTATAAGTAAATGACAAAGGGGTTGGATTGGGGCAACTACAAAAATATAAAACAAAAGGTCATGAATCTCTTGGGACAAACAAAATAAAAAGAAACAAGAAACACCTCTAGTAATTTATAAAGGACGCTACTTCGAGGTGCCTAGTTATAACCATTACAACAGCTAGTTGTAATTAGAGAAATAATTATTAAAAATGAAAAACATATCTTTTTCAAACGAAACTCAAAAAGGGTTAGTTAAAAAAAATAAACAAAATGTTAAGAAAAATTTTAACATTTATTGTTGTGTCACCACAACAGTTACAAAAATAAGACAATGCAAAAACATATTACCTCAAATAGTCGCAAAATACAAAAATACAAAAAAAACGTACATGTGTCATCTGTTTACAAATTCTTTTTGCTACAAAACTTACAAAATTGCATGGAGTTTAACCTTTTGTTTTAAACAAAACAAATCAATATCAAAATACTAAAACAAGCTGTCATAAATTAACATTAAAACCTAAAATTTACAATTAAAAAAAAACAAAAATTTAAATTGTTACTAAAGCAATTATTGTTATAAAAAAATATCTGTCTTTACTTTAAAATTTGATCACAAAAAAAGTTACATAAAAATTACACTTGAACTGTAAACTGGACTTCTTAAAAACTCAACAATGCCTGGGAATCTCCGACACAGGAACAACAAGGAAGTTGAGTCACTGGAACACAAACCTTGGAAACTAAATTGGACTTGGCTTCTTAAAAACAGGAATAGGTACAACTTGATACAATGGCAACATTTCAAAACTCACTTAAAACTGTAACTGAACCATTAAACTGCTACTATATTTTAGATTATTCTTCATAAAAAAAAGTCGAACAACGAGGAACATTTAAAATTTGACGTAAAATTTGAACATAACGTTGAAGACAACGCTCTTCACCGCGGCTATAACGAAAGTGATAAAAATATCTTTTAAAATTGATCGCATAAGTTGAAATAAACAAAGGACTTAGTATAAACAAAACACAAACGGGAATTAAGACATAAATTTATAATTTAAAAACGCAGTACATCGGGCGGCTTAAATCAAAGAATTACCGAGAGAAAAATACGAGACTGAGAAATAAATAAACAACTCTAAAATGGTTTATATTAACTCGAGCCGCCTAAAAAGGAATTAAAATACATTTCGGGTATTTTAACTTAAACGATTAACTAAGAAAACGTGGAAAAAATTCTTCGTTTTTTCGAACATATATGAGGGGATGTCAATATTTTACATATACGAGGGGATTCCAATATATACGAAAGAATCAATGAAATCGCAAATGCTACAATCTTTCTTACTTACAACAACTTAATATTGTAGCATTTTCCACCGAAAGGACTACGACAAACTGCTGAAAAAATACCCGTGCAATGGTTTAGTAATGAATTAAGGTCTTACAGATCTAATCTTTCTCTTATTATACACATTACAGACGCCACCAAGGATCCCGATTTGTTCAAAGTATATAAACAACAAATATTTACATATAATCGGCAATTACAAAATCTTAGAAAGTCAGCTTACTGTGATTTTATTACTAATTCCAATGATAAACCTAGAAACTACTGCATAATAGTAAATTTCGAAAAAAACAATACAAGATCCAGTTCTGTTTCAACCTGATCTACTTCCAGACGAAATCAATCAATGTTTTATTACAATTGCAGAGAATATAATTACATCTCTTTATGTCGATGTCCTCTTCAATTATAGAAATTCTCCAAACAAGTCCTTTTTTCGTCCCATTTTGATAAATTAAATTAATATTACATCTTTACGTTGCATAAATCCAATTTGCAATATTGACCTGAAGCTATTTTCTAAATTAAAACGTCAATAAACTTATTTTAACCCTTAATTGTGACTTATTCTCATTAAAATTCCAATTTCCAAGTTTTCATTACTTTTATTAATTTTTTCACAGCAGTTTAAATATTGTTACCATTTTTGGTGGAATAAACGTTGAGTAAAAAATCTGCTACCTATTAAATTAATGGATAAACGTTCAATGATGAATGTGATGTACGAACGTTTCATTTCTAAGGCCAATAAGATTAGAATCCTCACATATGTCCTACTAAATGTGATCGTTATGAGCATGTGAACATTTTCACTTTAATTCAAAAAACAATTAAATAATTATGAACATAATTTTCTCATAGCGCCAAAGGCTGATGAGACTTTAAAATAGATTGTAAATCTTATTTACTTTTAAAATGGATGAAAGTGAAGCCATTATTGCCTTGTAGCTACACAGAGGCTGTATTAAGATAACATTTAACAGTAATTCCCATGCTACAAGACGATAGGGAATAAAAGGGTGACAAGAAAAAAGATGGAAGAAAACTGTTTATTACTTGTTTACTTACGTACTAAATAGAATCATTTCTTTTTTACAACACGAAGTGCTAGGAGTACAATTAAGGCTGAAACTAAGACACGAAGAATATATTCAAAAGTTCGCGTTGGTGGATTTCTACACTTACTAAATTAATTATTGGTTAATTCTTTCGTCATCTGGGATGTGTTGAAAATTAAAAAGACTCAAAATTGCTGCTTCAAACATGAAATATCGAGGCATAAAAATAGAATTAATTATAAATCTTAGTGAAGAGGAAACTATGAGAAATATAGTCGAAATCAACGTGATCAGGGTATTACAAAAAGAGAATTGGATATTAGGGGCAACTTATGAAAATAACAAGACAAATTTGAGATTAAAAATAAAAACATTATCAGATTGGTTTGATCAGTACTTAATATTTAAACTAAAGCAAAGTTTCTCCTTAAACCTTTTCACTTGGCGACATGTTATTCTCTAAAAAAAATTAATAGAGCATGTCGCCCATGCCATAGTATATTTCTGATATTTACTTGCTGTATTTAGTGTATGAACATAAAATCTTCCTGATTGTTAAGGCTGTTTTAGCAGTTAAGGCACACTGCGATTTGAAATGGACGTATCACTTACTTTTCTATACTGCTTACGCCAGACTATCTTTACCCAGTGGCGCCGGCCGACGGGTAGTTTAATGACAACAAATGCATTATTCTTCATTCAAATTAGTTTTGTCGGGAATACCTTTTTTGATTGATTATCGTAGATAATGTTTTAAAAAGAATTATCACATTTTTAATTTATATGTCTTAGCTAAATATAGTATTGAATAAACAATTTGTGAAACGTGTCTGCAAAAACATCATGGTGTTAATTTATAATAAATTTAAAATAACGTAAAAATATTATTATCAAAAAAATTACAATTTGTTCTTACAAACAAATAAACAATTTCGCAGTTATAACTTGAAAATGATCACAAGAAGTGATTTATTTGTTTGAGAAAACTGATATTAGCCTAGTAAAAATTAAACAAAAAAATATTGGCCCGAGTGAAAAATGACTCTTGGAATATCTTCTCTTTACGATAAACTGAAGCTCTCGTTGGCCTGAACAGTGACTCTTGGAATATAAGTAGAAAAATATGACTTACAATATCTTGCTGCTTCAGCTTCTGTCAGATACACTAACTCCACAAAAACTCACTAACATTCAACACTACTGCTTGTAACCTCTCTGGAACCACCAGAGAACAATGACTGTTCGTCTTACACACTTGGAAAACCAAATGACTATCTTTTTTTTCTTCCAAAACTAACTAACGTCTCATTCTCCAACCAATCATCCCACCTTTTTCAATTTCAGCCAATCAAAACGCGTCATCCATCTCCCATTTTTTCATTTCGATAACAAACAAATTTTTACCTATAATTATAAAATTTCCTAAAACTTATTTACAAATAATATTTTTCTACAATTCTTAAAAACTAACAAAAACCTATCTTTCTAAAATCTATTCTATTGTCCTAATCACTGCAGTAATGTATTTGGAAAACCCGGTTCAATTGTCTTTTATTTCACTTAAGCTTATTCACGTCATACAAATATATTTAAACAAAGAAAATAATTTATGCATATCTTACGTTTTGTTAAATACAGGTAATCCAAAATTAAAAGACTTTCATTCTTCGAAATGTTTGTAGTTTATTGTTTGACTTATCTGAATTATTTTGATGGTTTTGAACTTTGAAATATTTTAAGCAAACCAATATTTTTCTCGATTTTACATATCATAACAATATATATATATATATATATATATATATATATATATATATATATATATATATATATATATATATATATATATATATTTGTAATAGCGAACGCGTGCCTGGACTACCACATCCGTTTTTAACTCAGATTTAATGAAATAACCTTTATTTTTATTAAATAATATATAGGGTTCAGAAAATAAATTATATAATAAAGTATATATTTTTGTTTCAGTTTCTCTTCCCTCTCATTTTTTGGATCGTGGTTTGTACAAAATGCGAAGATGTCCAACAGACAGCGGAAGACAGGACCATAAGAGAGTTGAAACCCCCAGATAAATTAATATTACAAAAATCGGAACCTTATTTAGTCAAAAAAGAAGAGCCATCTTTTCTTTCTAAAGTAGCATCATGGATATTTCCTTTCGGAAATTCCAAACAAGATCAAACCACAGCAGAAGGAGGCTTTGCAAAGTATCAGTATTTACCCCCTCCAAATACCCAAGATGATAAAGATTGCAGTCCCTGCAATCTAGAGCCTTGGGTTCCTATTGTAGGCCATAGTAATATTCACAAAAATGTATACCATAATAGTATATCTAGTCATAGTTTAAGTAATTTTTTACCAAATGCTCCTTCGGGATTATATGGAGCACCCAGACCGCATTACGGTCCACCAAAACCGGAATATGGTCCACCAAAACCGGACTATGGTCCACCAAAACCGGAATATGGTCCACCAAAAGTGGAGTATGGACCTCCAAAAATTGAGTATGGACCTCCTAAACCTGAATTCGGACCACCAAAATACGAATATGGTCCACCAAAACCTTCATATGGAGTACCACAACCTTCCAAACCAAATCCTGCTTATGGTCTGCCTTTGCCATCAATACCACAACAAAATAATTATATTCCACCAACGGGAGACATTTTTATAGCAGATTATATGTTGCCTCCTCCTATCAACTTTAAAATGCCATCATTACTTTACGTTCCATCTAAAAATGGATTTAGTTCTCCTCCAAAAAATATCTACAGACCACCACCTAAAGAATTTTATGGCCAACCTCCCAAAGATATATCTAGGCCTACCTTCAGTGGTTGGTATCCTCCTGCACCAAAAGATATATACTCGTCTCCATTAAATCCAATCAAACCATTTAATCCCAAACCCGAATATGGTCCGCCAAAACCTAACTATGGACCGCCGAAACCTAATTATAACGCACCTCCAGCTCAGTCATATGGTCCCCCAAATATTCCTAACGAAGCTATACCAAATGGGCCACCAAATGCTCAGTATGGTCCACCAAATACAGACTATGGACCACCAAATGCACAGTATGGACCACCAAATGTTCAGTATGGTCCACCGAATACACAATATGGTCCACCTCCTGAATTTTTAGCTCCCCCAACTCAAAGTAGCCAGTCTACAATTTTACAGCCAGTCCCGAATAGTTTTTCTACTCAGGGGTCTATCAGTCAAAGTTTTGTTTCTCCTCCAAGTCAGTCTCAATTTTCTACAGTGGGATCAAAAGTGCCTGACGCTTTTTTAAATCAACCTAATTTGCAAAATTCGTTTAATCCAAATCTAATACAATCAGCACCACAAAGTACGGGCTTGAGTGATAATTTCCCTTCTGGATTTTCTAACATACCTCTTGAATCCGGACGTATTCCTCCACCTTATCCTTCTGATAGCTATGGTAACCCAGTTACTGGAGATACTATTGATGTTAACATACCATTTGACTCATTACCAGCTCCGAGTGGAGATAGTGATAATTCGCAAGCATATGTAAATCAACATTTCCCCAATTTAAGTCCACTGCCAGTCCTGCCAAGATACGAATTCAGAAATTTCCACAAAAACCAACAAAAACCTGTAGATAGTGTTCAAGTTCAACAGAGTGTAAAAGTAGCGGACTTTGTAGCCAGTATCGAGCATCCCATTAAAGTAGTACAATCACCCCTGATTGAACTTCAAGTAGTTGAACAACCAAACCAAAATTATCCAGAACCAGTAACATACAATCGAATTGCTAAAACTCATTATTCCCCAGAAAAAGATCAAGGTATTGGTCCTAATCACATTAAACCTTTTAAACTTAGCGAAAATCCAATAGTTGTAGATGACACAAATACAGCTGCTAGTAATATTAACAGTACAGTAGCCAGTCCAAATGGTTTTCAAGTCAAAAGAAATAACGATAAAGATGTATTTGCGCCCACACTGAACACGTTTAATGCCGTTTCTCCTACGAGTAAATCCGAAAGCAATGAGGAATTGATTAAAAACTTTTTAATCAACAATGGATTAGTTGGAGATGAAAAAAGTAGAACAGAAAATCAAAATACTACATTTAAAGGACCTACTTTAGATTATAACGACTGGGTTCCTAAATTCCAGCCTCCATCAATTTCCAGTTCGATGCTACCACCACCAATTAATTTTAAACCAACGTGGCCAACTCAAAGTACGCAAAAACCGAAACAAATTATTATTCCCTATACAAATAATAAAATTTCCAATAATCAGAATGCCTACAGGAATTTCCTTGAAAGCTATTCAACGTTAGTACCTGTTTATACACCACCCATGCCAACAGAGCAGTCCGATTGGTCAAAATATTTAAACGATATACAAACTACAAAATTAACCAAAGTTACTGGAAAACCATTCTCTTCATCAAGTACAGCTGTATACAATATTAAAGATCTTCTAGGAGCGAACACTAGAAATCCACAGGATCCAGTTAAACTTCCATACGATGTAATTTCCTTGCAAAAAAATATTGACCATTGGACACACCAGTCATTTTCGATGGGAAAAAATGGAGACAAATCTGTGCCTCCAAAACAGATTCCTGGTGATTTTTTCACAACGAAAGCTAACAACGACGCCACAACTGCTTCAAATGATATATTTGATCACCATTTAGCAGAATCTTCCAGAAAAGAAACGTTTTCAACTAATACCGACATTGAAACCAACTTGATTGTAGCTGCTGAACCGGCTTCGCATGAAAGTAGCACTGTGATGGCTACAACTGTGAAAGGAAATTTACTGACTGATTATCAAAGGTAAGAAAAATGATTTTTTATAACAGTAACTTAAATGATATTATAGAGTGGGATATATCACTTAGGTGTTTTGTGCTGAAGTTATAACCACTTCCACAAACAAACGTTATTAAGATTTTTTTTGGTTGTAACCAAAATTTATACATAGTGAACCAAAAGTCTGAAAACAATTATCTATATGGATGGTCTGGATTGTACAAAAACCGGAATACCCCCATTCTGTAATTTGGAGATTTCAAGTATGATGCTTTGCGATGTTGCCAAATTATTTTAGCCGTTTTATCGTAATTATTAATTTATTAAATTTGAAAATGTATTTTTATTTGAAAATGATGTACAATTTGTAAAAATTGTTTGGCACTAAGAAGTTATATTTATTTAAGACCTTCGTGACTAGATAAAATGCCAATAGTATAACACAGAGTGTTGTATTTAAAAAATAAAAAAAATGCAAATCAAATAAAAAAAATCAATTCATTTAAAATATAATTAGGCGTTTCAAGACTTTTGATCCTCTCTGTTATCGTAAATAAATAAAAATAATCCATTTAATATTAAAGTTAACCCCTCTGTGGCTCAGTGGTAAGAGCGCCTACCTTTAAACCTAAAGGTCGTGAGTTCGAATCTCATCTGGGTGGAGAAATTTTTGTTTATTAAAAAATTAATGAATGAAAATAATTTCTATCCTTGTACGATCGATACTCACCAGAGGGATCGCAGACTTACTTACTTACTCCGTGGCGTTACAACCCTTCGTGGGTTTTAGCCGACTCGACAACATGCCTCCACTGTTTTCTATCTTGAGCAACCTCCATCCAATTCTCCACGCCCATAGTGCTTAGGTCTCCTGCTATATTATCTCGCCACCGAAGACGAGGGCGTCCGCGTGGTCTCCTTCCAGTTGGGACTTCCTCCCACACCAGTCTTACTGTTCGTTCATCAGAATGTCTTCTGAGGTGTCCTGCCCATTGGAGTCTTCTGGACTTTATTTCTTTTATGATGTTGGTGTCTGGGTAAAGTTCTTCAAGCTCTTTATTAGTTCTTATCCTATATTGTCCTGATGCTTCATCAAGCACCGGACCAAAGATCTTCCTTAGGATTTTTCTTTCCCAAACACGTAGTCTCTCTTCATTTGCCTTTGTCATCGTCCACGTTTCGCTTCCATACATCACAACGGGTCGTATGATTGTTTTATAGACCTGTATCTTCGTACCTCGTGTTAGTTGTTTTGATTTTATAAGGTTTTGGAGGGCAAAAATACATCTGTTGCCGGCCTGAATCCTGTTGTTTATTTCTTGTGATCCGTTATTGTCTTCAGTTATTGTTGTTCCAAGATACTTGAATTCTCTAACGCGCTCAAAGTTAAAGTCATCGATGGTAATGTTCTGACCGATTCTGTCTCTGCTTTGGTTATTGCGGCTCATATACATATATTTCGTCTTATTTTCGTTGATTTGGAGCCCCATCTTCCCTGCTTCCTTCTCAAACCTTACGAAAGCCTCCTTCATCTTTAATCGCGTGTTTCCTATTAGATCTATATCGTCTGCAAATGCCAGTAGTAAGTTTGGTCCTTCTCGATGAAATACTGTATTCGGTTTTTCGATTCTTGCACTTCTGATTATGTGCTCCAGAGCTAAGTTGAAGAGTTGTGGTGAAAGTGCATCTCCCTGTTTTAGTCCATTGTTTATTTCAAATGTCTCCGAGTATTGTTGTCCAACTCTCACCTTACATCGTAACCGTTCCATACACATTCGTATCAACCGGACTAGTTTTTTTGGAAAGCCAAGTTCCTGCATCGCTGTCCACAGTCTGTCCCTACATACTCTATCAAATGCTTGTTTAAAATCTATGAACATCTGATGAAGCTCACGATCAAACTCCCAGCATTTTTCCATTATCTGTTTTATTGTAAATATCTGGTCAATTGTAGAGCGGCCCGGTCTAAATCCGCATTGATAATCTCCAACGATTTCTTCTGTGTATGTTTTGGTTCTTTCTAGCAGGATGTTTGCAAGGATTTTTTAGGTGGTGTTTAGGAGTGTTATTCCCCTGTAGTTAATACATTGCTTTTTGTTTCCTTTTTTGTGTATTGGTACAATAACCCCTTCTTTCCATTCATCTGGCATTGTTTCTTCTTGCCAAATGTCTTGAATTAGCTTGTTTAGGGAATTAGGGACCGCAGACGTTTGGATACAATTAGCGTCTCTTAGCAAAGACAATGACGTCGACTTTGCTAAGTATCAAGAGAATTACTCTACACATACACACACACTACACTAGGTACCTGACTGTACCATGCCAATGATCATAGTTGTCGAGGCATTAACCCAGTAATAATAATAATAATAATAATAATATTAAAGTTAGAGTCAACTACTTGATTTAAAACTATATAATGTGTGGAAAATAGTCTATATTTTGAAACTACCATTTCTGCAATTAATACTAAGTGTTTGATGTTTTAAACTTTTATCCGTAAACTGTTAATCAGCTTCAATACTTCTAGTTGTCCCTTTGGCCCAGGTTATCTTGTTTAAAGGCCCAGAGGCTGTAGATTCAATGGCAGAAAGGATGCGAAGCTATTATGGCGGCTTACCAGGAAAACTGTCCAGAAAAAATAAGGAAAAATACGTGCAGTAATACAGTCTGGTGGAACAACCTTACAGACAACAACCTTAAAGAGGAGGTCGGAAGTCCGAAGCCTATTTAATAGAGCCAAATGTAACCAAGATTGGTATGCCGACAGGTATAAGCTAACGCTATACAATAAATAAATTCGGAAAGCTAAAATTAATTTATGGAGAGAGTTTAGCGAGAAATTACAGATATACAGAAAGAAGTAGGTTTATTAAAGAAAGCTAATGGCAAATTTACGGAAACCAAAGATGAAAGTCTTAGAGAACTGATAAACACGCGCTTTCTGGGCTCAACAATTCTGGATGATGCAGATAGGCAAACAAAAATAGACCAAAGGCTCACTAGACCAAAGTCTATAGATTGGGAAATAGCCGCAACAATCATAAGACCAAACAGAATTAGATGAGCTATAAATAAGTTTCGGCCATATAAGTCTCCAGGGACAGATGGCATATATCGAATACTATTGCATATGGGATAAGAGGTATTGATGCTACACTTATGCAAGCCTCAAAGCCATTTTAGCATGGGGGTTGTACCGGAAATATGACTAAATAAGGTTAAAGTCATATACTTGTCTGGGGTAGGTAAAGTATCAGACCCAACACCAAAGTCATATAGACCAATAAGCCTATCTTCTTTTCTATTAAAAACGCTAGAAAGGCTTCTTGATAGGTACATCAGAGACGAAGTTCTAAAAGATAATCCTCTAAGCAATCGTCAATATGCATACCAACCTGGTAAATCTACGGACTCTGCGTTGGATGGCTTATCTAAACAGGCTTATCTCAAAGTCAATGGAAGACAAAGAGATAGCAATGGCCGCTTTATTAGATATAAAAGGGGCATTAAATAATGTTACCACCGGGTCTTTGATAGGAGCTATGAGTAGACGAGGCGCACCTGCGGTTATATGCAGGTGGATAAGGACATCCCTGGAGAATAGGACAGTAATGCTCACTCTGGGTAAAGCAACCATCAAAGCAAAAGTAGGTGGAGGCTGTCCATAAGGAGGAGTTCCGTCCTCTCTACTTTGGACAACCTTGGTAGATGATCTCCTCAGAAATCTGTCCACAGAAGGCTTTTATTGTCTAGGATATGCTGACGATATAGCAATCGTTGTCAGGGGCAAACCTGCTTTGCCTTGGGGTATATTTTAATTATAGGCTTACATAGGATACTCACATTCTGAAAACTACACAAAAAGCTACTATGTCCCTGGGCAGATGTAGAAGAATGTGCGGGAATAATTGGGGACTTAACTCGAAAATGCCTATATGGTTATATACAAAGGTTATTAGACCCATGATAACCTATGGCTCAGTGACGTGGTGGATAAACACCCAGCAAGAGCAATAATGCTGCTAGGTAATACAAAAGGATAGCATGCCTGTGTATTACGGGGGCCATAAAAACAACTCCTACTGCGACAAATAAGCCAGATGGATGGTACTGACAACAGAAAGCTAATCGAGGAGCTAAAAGCCGATATTGTAATGGGGAAACCTATCGATTCTAAGCTAGTATGGGATTGCATGTGTGCCCTAAATAAACCAGGAGACCGTAGCAAGGTTACGGTAGCCTGGGTACCGGGAAACCAGGGTCATAGGGCAATGAAAAAGCAGATGAAATGACCAAACAAGGCTCATCATTGCCATTCATTGGACCAAAACCCTTCTACGGCGTTGCAAAGTCGGTAACAAGAATGGCTACAAGGAAGTGGGTAGCTCACAAATCTCTGGAATTGTTAAGGAATTCACCAGGACAAAGACAGGTAAAACAGTTCATTCCAGAACATTTGCCAAAATTTACGGTAGACCTAATAAGCAAAGCCAGGGAAACAGTCAACGCCATAGTAGGTCTTCTAACAGAGCACCGTAAGCTGAATAGACACTTGAAGCTGATGGGATTATTAGATGATGACCTGTACAGATTCTATCACCTCAAAGAAGAAACAGCAGAGCACTTTTTATGTCTGTGTAACAGTCTGGCAAATGTGCGGTTCTTTGAATTAGGAGAAGAAAATCTACCAGCAAATAGCTACATGGAAGGTACAGTCTCAAAGCTACTAGACTTTATAAAAAGAATCAGGCTAAAGAATGTTATCTAATATTAGAAGACCACAATAGATCTGAAAAAATCGCAGTGGAATAGGCCAGAAGGTCACCTCTCTAAATCTATTTATCTATCTATTACCTTGGCATTTTGAACCTTTAAATGATACTTTTAATTTTATAATTTTCAATTAAACGTGTAAAAACTAGACACAAGCGTTCAGTTTTAATCTTATTGTTAAAATATGATTTTGTGGAAGTGTAACCTGCTAATTAATTTATTTTACCTTATTATTCTGTGAATTATGAATACAAGCTATATTTTTTAGATCTTCGTGGAAATCGGCTTATGTTACTGTCTCTCCATACACCAAAGAAAAAGTTTACGTAGTTACCCCCCAAGCCTACAGTTTTGTAACTGCTAGTCCAGCTATATCCTGGAGTATGGCTCCAAAAGTAGAAAACGGTACCAAAAATAATATCACCCTAGACGCTCGTAAGTTTTCCATTAGAATAGAACCGCAGAACAAAGAATCTAGGGAAAAGATGCAGAAAGACAAAAAGACTAACGTCAAAGTTGTGTACAGTGAATGGCCACATTTGAGTAAGTATTAAATATACAGTAGGTAGTAAATGGTTTTTGGGTTTATATCAATGAAATATATATTAATATACTAAAATCACAATTAAAATGCATTAGAAATAAACAAACCAAGACACCTGAATGTTACGAGGAACACTCCCGAATCATGATTTACAATGTATAAACTTTGTACAATGTGTATACATTGTAAATCATTATTTGAGAGTGCTCCTTGTAACATTTACCAGGTCTTGGTTTGTTTATTTATAGTGCATTTTGATTGTGATTTAATATAGTATATACTCTTTCTATTTTGGCTGTTTTTTTTGTGTGAACTACATTTTTTTATCTTTGGAAGCTGTCAGTTCTACAGCGGCCATACTGCAGCCAATTTGCGTATCATACATCCTCCATAAACTGTTGTACAAGGCCTCAGGACTTTGCTTTATATAAAGACTCTTCGTCAACACCCGATGGACGTTTTGTTTGGCACAGGTGTGCTTAAGGCTCTTGTATGAAGGCGACATCAAACCCTTCCATAGTTACAGTAAATTTTGCGAAATCTGTCTTACTGTGCTATTGAAATATTGTAAGGCACGACAGTGCACCGATACTGTGCTATGGTTACAATCCCCTAAAGTTCCCCAACTCTCTAGTGCATTTCCTAGGCAACACTGTTAGCCCTGGTAACGATGGTGTTACACCTCGGTATGGGAGAACTTCGAAGACATTTAAACAATGAAATGGCGCTGGGCGGTCACGTTGCCGGATATAACTATAACAGGTGGACACGGAGAATTCTAGACTGGAGACCAAGGAGGACGACAGGTAACGTGGGAAGATGTCAAAAGAGATAGGTAAAAGATATAAGAGCAGTGGCAGATAAACAGTTGATTAGATTGGCGCAAGCTAAAAATATGGAAGCAATGGGAAGGGACCTACATTCAGGACTATCGAAAATGGTTGTCGAAAAAAAGTAGTTTATGTATATTTTGTGCTCGTCTGGGCATTTTTGTATGTATTTGTGTGTTTGTGTCATGTTTAATCAACAGAATATAGTGACATAGCTGCAGCCAACTGACATATTAGTTGGCATACCTTACATAATCATTGGTATAACTTAAACGTATGGCTTAGGTGAAAAACAAAGAAAATCTCCAAGAATATAAGAGAATACATACCATCGTCAGAAGAAAGATAAGAGAAGCCAAAGAGAAACAAAAAACAGTCAGTCATGTCAAGACATTTTTTTTTTGGACCTATTCTCTATCTTTCCATTGTTGGAATTCCCCAGTTTCTCTCTATCTTTCCCTATCTTGAGCTGTTCTCTGCCATGTGGGACCTCCTTGTTTCCTGATGTCATCTTTCCACCTCATCTGTGGTCTGCCTCTTGATCTCTTTGCATTGTATGGACGCCACTTTCCGATGGCATTGTTCCATCGACCGTCTTGGAGACGTTCATTGTGTCCAGCCCATTTCCATTACAGTTTTGCTGCTTGTTCTATCGCGTCTACTGTCTTTGTTCTGGTTTTGATCCACTGGTTACGTTTTCTATCTCTAAGTGATACACCCAACATTTGTCTCTCCATCGCTCTTTGTGCCTTCCTTATCCTATCCAAATTGGCCTGTGTAAATGTCCATGTCTGTGCTCCGTAGGTGAGCACCGGTATTATACAGGAGTTATATACCTTGCTTCGTAAGTATAGAGGGATTGTTTGATTTTTTAGAACGTAAGAAAGTTTGCCGAACGCTGCCCATCCCATTCTTACTCGTCGCGATATTTCGGCTGTTTGATTTTCTCTGTTAGCTCTGATTGCTTGTCCTAGATAGATATACTCATTTACCTGTTCTATTTTTTCTGTTTTTATTTTTATTGCCTCTTGGTCTTCCGTGTTTGCCATTACTTTTGTTTTGTTGAAGATAATTTTTAGGCCTTTTTGCAGTGATTTTTCATGAAGTTCATTCAGCATTAATTCCAGTTCTTGTCGTTCCGAGGAGATCAGGAGTATATCATCCGCATATCTAAGGTGATTTAGGTATTTTCCGTTAATACATATTCCTCTGTTTTCCCAATCTGTTGATTTTATTATGTCTTTGAGGGTCAAGGTAAATAGTTTAGGTGAAATTATATCGCCTTGTCAAGACTATTCCTCTATGTCAAGACATAGAGGAATATTATAGTCGATATGATAACTTCAATGTCCATCGAAAGGTGAACGAAGTAACTGGAACGATCCGAAAACTCAACAGCGGAAAAATAACAGATAATGAAGGCAACCTTGCCATAACCAAAGAAAATAAAAAGAAAGTATGTGAGGAATATGTGGAGAAACTTTTACACGACCTTAGAACAATACAAGAACCCACCATTGAAGACGGAGCCGTCAGACAAATGAAGGATGGAAAGGCACCGGGACTTGATACAATTCCTTCACAATTGCTGAAGCTATTAGATGCAGAACAAATAAAAATAATAACTGAAATATTTAATGAAATATACAAGACAGGAAAAATACCGGTAGATTGGCCCAAATCGGAGTTAGTACCAAAAGACCAGGAGCAAAAGTTTGTGAAGACTATAGGACCATAAACTTAATGAGCCATCAGCTGAAGTTGTTTTAATCCACGAAAGAATTTACCGGAAATGCGAGGAACACATTGCGCCCAATCAGTTTGGATTTATGAACGCCGTTGGTACAAGAGAAACTTTGTTTAGCGTGCAGGTATTGTTTCAGAAATGTAGGGATGTCAGCTAGAATGTACATGTAATATATATAATATCCTCCATAGTGTGAGATCTGATATACAAGAATATCAGATCTCATACTATGGAGTCAAGCTCAATAACCTGCGGTGTACAGATGATACAATAGTATTTTCCAATACCATATAAGGTCTGCAAAATTTGCACACTAAGAAGAAGTAGTTTAATAAATATAATAAATTTAATAGTAGTTTAATAAATTTAATAAATAAATAGGCTAGATACTAATTAAAATTATTTGTTTAATTTTTAGTTAATGATCTGCAACCTACAACAATCAAACCGACGTCTTCTCATCCCCTTTTTGGTTTGATGGGTATTTCGGCGTACACACCACCAGCTAATAGTACTGTTGAAACATTTGTTGGACATTCTAGGGTAAGTAATATTTTCATAATATTCAAAAGTTATATTACAATCCGTGATTTGGTAAATGCGGCACAAAAATAAATCGCTAATGTAATTTTTTTATAAAGGAATCAATACTTATCAAAATAGCAAAAAGCTTAGGACCAAGCTTTTATCTAAGTACAAGAAGAAGAAGAAAAAAATAGACGCAACATTTAAAACTTACATTTATGTTAAGTAAATTATTTCAAAACTTATTAGGGATGATTACTAAATTTACAATTAAAAAAGCTAAAACGTAAGCAAAAAGAATTTAAGGAATAAAATCGAATCCTTAAGAGAAAAAACTAAGTACCTAAAGAGAAACTACAATGAAATATGAAATGAGGATGAAAAAATAAAGGAGAAGCTAAAGAGTTTGAAAAGAGTTATGAAAGGGCTTGATAAAATGAGCCATGAGTATAATATTGTTCTAGCAGAGCTATCAGTTGATACAAGTAATTTCAGAGATTTAAAAAAAGCAGTGAGCAACTATTTAGATCAAAAACTAGCAATAGTGATTTAAATAGTAACAGCAAGAACACCAAAAAAGAAAACAAGTTAGATAGAATTAAAAACTGCGGACGATAAACTGAAAATGATAGAAAAAAGTATATTCTTGAGTAAATTAAAAACGAATTTGTTTTATTAATCATGATCCAAATAAGAACCACAGAAAAATGCGGAAAGCACATACGTTCTATACGATACAAAGAAATGACAAATGGAAAATCAGTTGATTTAGCAAAAACTTAGTTTGGCCAAAATAACAATTGGAGAAAACCAATGGATTTGGAATAAAGTTGAATATCATTAAAAACACCAAAAAAGTAATAAAGAAAACAGAGACGAAAAAAAAGAACATGACCACTGTAAGATAACAAACGATGGAGAGTGTTAGAGACACAAAAAATAAATGCCGCGTTGCTCAGAGTCGGAGGAGAGGTGGGGTAGTTTTTTACGACATTTTCACTAGTGGACAAGCTAAAATAAAATACAATATATATATATATATATATATATATATATATATATATATATATATATATATACATCAGATGGTAACTATCAGAGCTAAACCAGAAATATTAAATGACTAAAATAAGGAAAACAAATGATAAACAATTTTCCAAAAGGCGCCACCGAATTTTTTCTGTATCGATAGATAGATAGATAAATAGATCGATTATAAATATGAGATCGTTAAGGCCGTACAGCCTTACCGCACTTCGGCCTATAGAGATGTTTTGTGGATCCCTTAATCTAGTTGAACTCTAGGTTGCCAATACTTCTGATGAAGTTGATTAACTTCCTAGATGATTTGTTTTCCATGTCAAAAGGCGGTTGACCTCCTATGAATTTTATTCGTTTGGAGGATAATGCTACGCAGTTGCATAGGATATGTTCTGCTGTGTCTTTTTCGTTGTCACAGAAAAGACAGTTCTCACTATCTAATTTGCTCATTTTTTGTTAGCATTTTTGCTTGCTTTTGTCCTGGTGTGTTAGACAAATGTAATCATAGTTAATTAACGGGTTGGAGTTATTTTCTGATGTGGCTTGAGATAGTCAACACAAGGGTTTTGGACCCTGGAATGTGGTATTAGTCTCTTCTTTTGCGAGGCTGTCATCTTCCTCATTTTCTACAATTCACTTGTAGGCTGTCACCTACATGAAAGTTGATTTGTTGCGTTCCGCTAGCTTCTTGTGGATGTTTTCGTTTCCAAACCCACTTTGACTTACAAGTAAATGACTTTAGTGTTCACCCTGTGAAACGCTCAATACTCCGGGAGTATTGGGTTTTTTTGAAGTGTAGAACTTCCAAATTTCAGAAGAACTGAAAGAGAAGTGATGAAAAAAAAAATACTAAAAATAGGGCTAAGCTCAGAGGAACAAATTTAAATGGCCAAAGAGACACTAAATCTCAAGTGAGTGTTCGGGCTAGCTTCAATGCACTGGATTGTGGCTTTAAAGATATAAACAACAATAACAAGAGATAATGAGCTAATGAGACAAGAAAGAAATGAGACCTGGTAATATCAAACGTGATACAACTGAAGAAGGTCACTGGGAATAAATTTATAGAAAGAGAACAATAAGGAAAAAGAAGGGCGCCAACTCAACGATAGTTGAGATTTTGAAGTAACAAATGAATCTGGAGATAATACTCTGAAATACAAAAAATATTAAATAATAATCTTGTTTTGCTATGTTATATACTGGTTAGTAGAACTGAAATAAAACTCAAAATAGCAACAATAAATATATTTATAAAAAATGTATATAGGTATATGTGTATAAACAATTTACATATAATGCAAAGCCAAATAACAGTGGTAGTGGATGGTGTACACATACAATGGGACCTAATAGCCCCTCAACAACCGAATAATCACTACCACTGGCCAAATAAAGTATAAAATGTCAGTAAACAACAAGAATAGTCCGTATGATAGCCAAAGTCTTAACACAAAAAGGTAGTAATTTAACTTTAAATAGTTCTACTAATATGAGATACTAATGACAATATTATAAAGATATCAACTCGATAAATCTATTACAATTATATTATATTACATCCAAAAAATGAGTTGTTCCATACTCATTATATCATATTTAAAAAAAAAAAACATTAAATTTATTTCCCTTTCCCAATATTAAATTGTATCATATCCAATGTATTGTATTAAAAAAAATATTATAGCAAAAGTGAGTTTGGTCAGTACTCTTAAAATCCTATTTAAAAACCCAATAAAAACATGTAATGTATTTTCTTCTCCCCAATATTTTAGAATTAGATTTATCAAAAATTAAATTATCACAAAGGTATTCACCTTATCATATGCATATGAAAAGTTAACAGTAAATAGAAAGTAATACGTAATACAAAAAGTCAAATAGTTAAACAACTTATCTTTACAGCACTATAAGTCCATAGGAAAAACTCTCTTGGCGCGGCTACATCAGTTTATGGCTGTAAAGACAAATCCTGGTCACAAAAGCCACCACCAGTCACTGGTCTCTGGGTGACAGCAAAATCCACGGGTTTGCTAACTATTCAAGAAATTTAGTTACTTGAGACCTTGAGGGAATATTCTGAAGAGAATATCCTCAAGTGAAGTGACGGAATCTAAAATTATTATTTAATTTAATAAATGTAATTCAATAGGTGTAGCAGCATGGATTGACTGCACCAAAACAAAACATCAAAATATCAGGTATTAGGTTAAGTCAACATCATGTCAAATTTATGAAGTTACTTTCGTAGGCATGGCAAGCTTGCGCCATGAAAAGAACATGCGCAGAATATAGAAGGCTGTCCACATTTGTAGAACCTTTTATATTCCACCAAAAAAGTTAGGTAAAAAAAAACCAAAAAAACTTAATGGTAACGACATGGAATAAAACAGAATTTAAGTTTAACTATATAAAAAAAATTACCTTCTGTTCTTTGCAAATAAATCAAGGAAATTTTATATTCAAATTATTTCGGAACTCAAAAATAAATCTCTAAAGAAATACTAAACTGCAAGGATAAACTTGATTGTATGATAAAGAGATAATACGTATGAAATGATTTACTTACATGGAGCTGCAGCACGCCAAAAAAAAACTCTTCCTTTTTATATGGAACTCTTATAAATGAATATTGATTTTATTAGAAAAATTTCTTATTATTATTATTATTTATGAATTATATATTTTTTTTATTCTTGTCCTAGATTTTATTTGCCCCAATTCCGTCACTTTGAACGTGAGAAAAAAACTCACCGGTTGGCGTGTCTGCGTTTACGAGTTCTGACCAAAACTGCTACTTCGCTTCCGCATAAAATCGATCTTCCTTTCAAAGCGATAACAGCGCGTGGGGAAAAATGTCGATTTAAAATCGATCGTAGGCGGGTAATAAAAATTTCTTGAGGGGTTTAAATTTGACTAGTCAGTAGCGTAAACGCTACACCTGACTTCACAAGTGTTTCAAAGTAGAATTTGACTGGCATGGCATCTATTGGCCTGACCTGGAATTTCTTTCAAAATTTTTAGGTGACCAACTAGATCTCTAGATTTCATTATTTGTGCCTGTCGCAGTTTTAAGGTGGTAGTTAATACCTCCCTTCTTGTGCAGAACTACAATGGAGGAATGTTCAGCATCGCCTCTAGAGCTGCAGTAGGACATGTTGACTTTGCCCCTGTGATTTCCAGACAAGCAAGCTGCTGCATTTTTTGCAGCTTGACGTTAGCTGTTGTTTGTTTTGTTTTAGGCCCCATACGAGTGATGTGTATGTGATTAGAAAACATAATAATTTACAAAGAAACTTAATTTCATCTTTGATAATTAAAAACTATGATGTTTAAGTTACAAAAGGAATGCTTCACACGGCATCGTAAGATTCCACTGGAGTTGATAATCCTTAGACGAAGTGTTTACGAAGATTTGGAGTTACTGTCAATAATCGGTTGTTCGTAGAAAACTTCGGTCTGTCCGTAGGACGCTTCCCCATTTGGAATGTGACCTAACACAAGGCTTTCTTTAAAAAGCCTCTGTAGTTGCGGCTGTATTTGCATGAAGCTTTTTTGTAGTAAAGCAGGAAATATTTCGTCCTTACTCAGGGATTTAAAAGGTTTTAAGCTTTTAACGGCCCATTCCATTGTGTTTTTGTAAAAAATGTTCCCGCATTTGCCTGCTGGATCTTCGTTCAGTTATAGTTAGAGCAGTTATAACTGCTTTTTTAATTTTATTATAAGATTAATGTATTTTAATAATAATAAACTATTTATAAATTTTCAACTGTTAAATTTTTTATCAATTCAATAATTTCGTTTGTATTATAAAAAAATTAATATAAATTAAAATTAAAGAGCTATAATTTTATTTATTTATTTATTTTTTCGATATATCAGAAAATTAAAGTGATCTGAAAGTTTAGTTTTTGTAAACATAACAAACAACTTGCATCATAGCATTGTGTAACAATATATTAGTAAATAATATTAAG